AGCGTAGTGCTAGCCACATTACCTTCCTTGTATACCGAACGGCTCTAGTATGGCAAGCTGTACCTTGCTACTCCCAAGGCGTTGAACGCTATATACGGGAGCTACTATTATTATATTAATAAATTATATATTGTTACGGATTCCGTGGGTCCACTATTTAAACTCACGATAAAATACTTAACGAATTTATTTGTCTCACTCTGTACACACAACTTATACTATTTACTATTTACAACACAATTTATGCAACTACTATTACTTTAACCATGATACAAAGAATACAAGGTATGATATTGCGCAGGTTGGTCACTACGTCACAGGTGATAAACGGCACCATTAGTCGGCAAGCTCCGCGCGCCAATTTCAAATTGTCAAACAGATGACATAATAAATGATGAATAAATGTGAAAATAATTTTTCAAATGTCAAGTTCGATGATTTGACATAACTTTTGGGGTTATGTCCTAATTCTTCCCTATTTTAGGTCTTTTTTTATTAGTGGCAATTGGACAATACGAATATTTTTTTGTATGGCGTATGACGTCACAGGTGGTATGCGCAAACTTAACGAAATTGGAGCCGCTATCGATCATACCTTGTTTTCTTTGTACCATGCACTCTAACGGTATTTCGCGGTATTATCAAACTTCAGACTTCAGACTATCTTCAGACTGGTCCAACTGTCAAAGCGCGGGCCTTATATACCCCCTGGCGATGGTTTCTGGAATTTTCTAAAGAATTCTGTAATTCTCTTTTACTTTCTGGCGAATTCGCCAGGTTCCTCAATGCACGTTACGGTTATGTAGCAGTAATGCAGTTATGCAACCAGTAATACACCTTGATCTTGACAATATTTTATCTAATTTATTATTAAATATTATTACTGTTAGTTATTATTACTATTAGTGGAACCTACAGCCATTTCAAATAAAAAATAATGGTAATTAAGATAATTACAAAAAACCTAACTAAAAAGTTTTAACATTCTCTAACAGAACTCTAAAACTATGCATTTCCATACCCATGTTTATAGGAACTTTTTTCATATTTTTCGATGAGGAATCAATGAGTGGAGTGTTTATTCTAAACTTTCTCAAGTTAATGATATTAATTTTTTTTAAAGGCTGCTATTGATTTGGGTCAAAGCAAATTAATAAAATTGCGTTTATCTCATCAAGGAGGCCGAAAGCGACAAAATATCAAGAGACAACTTTTAATCGGCATTAAACTGCTTACACTGTTTCTCTAATAAGAAAAAAAAAGTCAGTGACGTACATGCTTTTTTTAGAAAAATATTCCAGTCATAACCTATATGGCATGCCATTAACCCTCATTTTTAGCTTTAAAATATGTCGCATTAATAGTAATTTCTACCCTTAAAATTTCATTGGAAACGGTAAAAGTACTAAAAAATATTAAGACTTTAACACCCTGTAGCAATGAAACAAAGCAGAATCGGACCTATGTTGATATGAAAAATAAATCTTATTTTTACGTAAGGAAAAATGGCAGACACGAGAAATGGCACATGTTTTTTGAAACACCCTGTATACCGATCTGGTCATAAAAATTGCGTGGTCTAGATTTTAACGTGTAAGACAGCAATGTAGAGAGCTTAAATAAAAAATCAAATGTATTAAAGAGAGATAAAAGTTAGGTTGCTACATTTCTTCTATGCGGTATTGCCGGATTTTGCATCAAAATTTCAAACCGCACAAGTAGGTGTTTACGTAAATTGTTGTATTTAGAGTTGGAGCTTTATTTTTCACACTTAGTTACTCATTTTACTACAGCTCTAATAGATTCTTAAACAACTGTCTAACAGAAATAAGTATTATTGAATAGCTTAGATATATTATCTTCGTTTATTATTTGTTTCCTCGTATGAACTGGCAACACTGTATGCCGCATTTTATTTTGTCTCTCTGTCTGTCAACTGGTCGTATACCGTGCTGGCAACTCTTACTTTTGGGTCGGTGTTTACATGTGTGGAAGTAAATCGCATAGGGATCTTATTAAGTCGGAGTCAGAGAAATGCGATGGTGTGCTGTTGCGGCGTTGCCACATTTCTTCGGTACGCCCAAATACGTTCAAATAAAATATACGGAGGGTACCGCTTAAATTCCTGTCCCGATGTTGAAGGATGGCTATAGAATGTCAATGCATTTCCTACATAAGTCTATCCTTGTTCGGGAGGAGGTTTTCTGCGCTTGCTCGATCTGTAAGCACTTTGATTGGACAGTTCCAAATCATATGATATGTTTTGTTTTGGTTTTATTTATTTTAAGTTGAGGTTAAAGACGTTCTAATTGAATTAAATCTTTCGAAAAATTGGAAGCTTTTTGTTAAATATTTTGAAATCAAATAAGTTTGATAATGTAACATTATGCGCATATTTGTCAATTGAGATATTTTAATTGTATCCAACATGTTATGGCAAAACACTTTTTCGACCAAAAGTTTTCAGATATCTTCGATTTAGTTATTTTCGAATGTTCATTTTGTTTATATCTATTACAAACTCAAGGAGCAACAGTTTTTTACAAGTAGTGTTAATTTTGATGCTGGTGCAATACTTCTACTCGTTAAAATAAGTTTATTATAAATATTACAGACATTTAAAAGAATAGGCTATGGAATAGGTATATAAAAATTATTTTATATCTGTCTCACAATGGGGGCCTAGTAGCGTAATAGGTATCTGCAGTGCGATTCTGTAAACATTTCCCTGTCTAGTGACTCATCAATCGTATACAAATAGCATAGGCTCGATAGGAAATTTCTTGCTACAGAGCTTACAGAATCCCATTGCTGATTTCTAAAATTCTTTTTCTAGATAGGCTTCCCGCATCGTAAAAACTCCTATTTTATGGTATGTAATTAGTATTCTGAAGGTATTAAAATATTTTAATATCAATATAGTTTTTTCACTGAAACTCGAGTTAAATCTTAATATACATTATTCATATTGTCGTTTTAGAGATTGTGCTTTTATACTTACTATTATGAAAATTTACTGAATAAAATATATAGTTGCAATCCTTTTACTGAACTCCTTAATTTCTTGTTTTATGAGGGGATAATTTTTGCTTATTTAGGTACTAATTTTAATCAGACCATTTTTTAATGAACTCATTTATATTTATATCATATCGTTCTAAGTAGACTTTGTTGTGTTAGACAATTATTATTAAATAAAACGAATGAAAAAAAGTGACAGGTACGATATTTTTTTTTTAAATTCAAAAAATAATTAGTAAAACCACAATTATTAAGAAATTGTCTTAAAAACTTCGTAGTACAAATTGCATTATTTCACTTTTTTTAAAATTCAAAAAATAATTTAGTAAAACCTCAATTAAGGAACTGTCTTAAAAACTTTGTAGTACAAATTGCATATCTATTTCACTCGACTTAAAAATTGCAGCAAAACAAAGTATAACAGTACATTTTTTACTGTCTATTGTTTCTTTTACTGCCCATGTATTTATGATCAATAATCAACATCAGTCCTGGTTTAAAATGAAACAAAAGTAATTCTTTATTATTAACATATTTTTTATTAAACAAATATAACGTACATATTAAGTTTATACATAAATCAAGCTAGATACAAAAAATATAATTATTTACATTGTTGCATTAATTGTAAATACTCTTTTATATTATGAAAAAAAAACAATAATAATTTACAATAAGACAGTCTGTGTGTAACTGTGTAAGCATTATAATTAGCCTTATGTAGTCTCTATTTTTAGTCTTTACATTATGTCTTTTTTATTTTAAAATAGTAAGACTAAATATAATGCTTTTAACAATTATTGATTTTTGAATAAAATTAGTTTCGTATATTTTTGTCTTATATTAACATCCCTTTTATTTCTGATTTTGCTTTCATGATACAAACGAACATCGAGAAAAATTTCTATTATTAATTTTGTTAGTTGGCTTAAAAGTCTTTAAAACTAAATCACAAAATTGTCAATAAACGCACAAAGATTAAAATACAAACGAAAACACAGTACACGTGGAAAACACAGAAAGTTAGAGAAAACACTAATGACACTAATGGCGACTGCCCAAAGTGCCCAAGTCCAAACTGAAAACAAAATCCACGCCGACGACGCGTCCAAAAATAAATCGATAACCCATCTCGACACCATTCGGCCAATAGAAAAGTAGCATTTCGGCGCATGTGCATTACATCCAGCTACTGAACAAGGATGGACTTATGTCAAACTCGATCTTCTGTCCTTCAATTCTGGGACATAAATTCTCTCATTGCTCTTATGGGGAGGCCGCGGTATATGTAAATTTAAACGTATTTGGGTACGCCTTTCCCTATCAAGTAAAGTAAAATCACGATCGCAAACCGCTTATTTTTAAAAGACTTTGTTTTCAAAAGGATAACTAGATAAAATCATTTGATATGTTTCTGAGCACCTGAAATGGAATTATAAGGATATCATTAGGGTATCCATTTTTTATAACGAGAAAACGTCAGTAATCCTCGAAAAATTTGATAGGCTTGTTTTTTTCCATTCAAAATTTTTAAAAAACCCATCCATTTACTTTTAGTGCATTGCAATTTTCAGCAATCGTGTAACTTTTTTATTTATAAAGATGCGAAGAAAATATAGTAGAAATATTAAGAAAGTTTTTGAAAAAAAACTACAACCAATTATTTCTAATGAATTTCGAGATATCGATTTTTGAATTCAGAGTTCTAATAGCGCGACCACTGTCGAATCAACTCAATTCCACTTATTTTTACCAAAAGAGCAAGTGTTTTTTCTTATTTCAAAAATATAAGAAAATACAATACAACGATAAACTGTATTCTATAATATTTTTGAGAACAACAAATAAAATAACCAAACATTTTGCAATAATTATATAAAATTTTAATAAAAAAGCATTACTTTAAATTGTAAAGGAATGAATGTGTCTTAAAAATATGTTAATTATATTACTTTTTATTTTAATATTATTTTTTAAAGGTAGATGTCCAACCTCCCGATAAACAACCAGAAGCCTTATTGGGGATTTTTGTTAAAAACGTCACACCAGGCAGTCCCGCCGGCAAGACTGGACAGTTTAAGGTAACCTTTAAAAATAATCCTTTTATATAAAAAAACGTTGAAATTTTAAGCTTTATTTCTCTGGTAAAAGCTCTGCCAGATTAATTTTTAAACAAAGAGTATTTTTCATTTAAAAACATGAATTTTAAATCAAAAAGACTGTTTAAAGACTAAACAGAAACGGAAATAATAGAATATTTTTCTCTTGTAATGAATAATTTATTAATTAATTTTAATAATTATCTTCTGTTCTCGTTCACGGACTATTTACTAAATTACATCTTTTAAATCTCACTAAAATTGTGTTGGTATAAAGCTTTAATAAATAATTTAATTACGCTTTTATAAGCTTTAATAACAAGTACGAAATAAATTTTGATTAAGTTGCAGAACAAAAATGTTTATGTATCTTTTTCTAAAGTTACATTCGGAGTTATTCTAGCATAATTTTGAATTAATTGAAGGTTTATCAACTTTCTTATTGTAATTTTATGCCTGGAAGGAGTTTTAGAGATGTACTGAACCCTCCGAGAGTTAATTATGATTAAAAATATATTATATTAAACAAATAATTAATTATTATATGTATTCATTGGATTCATTAAGCTATATTTTAAATAGATTAGCTGTTACTATTCTATTAAAACGTTTTTGTAACTGTTAAAATTGCCTTATATCTATCAAAAATAGTAAAATAGTACTTTAACCGCAAGGGTAGATTAAATGATACTTTAACAGCGAGGATAGGTTAAAAACATTATTTCTTCTCGCACATTTTTTAATTGCTTCCATTTTTGAAAATTTTTGTATTCCTTTTCATAAGTTATTCGGGATTTAAATGGAAGTAGTTTGGATATGGCGTTTATCGCCTCAGCCAGAATATTTGTTGGTAATTTACTTATTTCGTTTTAAGTAATTTCTGGCTCCAATTCAATTAGCAATCGACACGAAAGAGAATTAAAAAATATTGACTCAAAACTGATAAACATCTGACAACTAAAGAGACAGCTTTATTTATTTGTCAAATTACATAGAAACCAACGCCAACCCAGCACAATATTTTTTCTACTCGTAATAACTAACTCGAATTCCTTGAAATAATAATTTCAGAATATTTTTTAAAACGTAACTCGCTATGGAAAAAAATATTGTTTTATACACGACGATAAAATTGCATTATCGTATAATACCATTTATCGTAAAATGCGATTTTGTTGTCTTGTATAAAAAATAATTATTAATTAATAGTAATAATATTTTTATATATTTATTTCACGATATTATTTTTATTGTCTTATTGTAGTGATGTAAAGGGTAAAATTATAGCGGTAATATTACCCGTAATTTTGGTAATTTTACGTAATATTACCGCAAGATCGGTAAAATTGGAAATATTGATTTTTTCCCGCTCTACTCTTTTCTTTTTTTTTGATGAAAACAAGATGGGGCTGTTGTTAATAGCCCAGATATTTCCGATGTTCTTTCACCAAACAGCAATTAATGACTTGTTTAAGCCAATCTCCAAGTGGATAACGATTTTTGAAGCTAATGGGCCAACAACCTAAAAAGTTTTTACTTGCTCGATTTTAATTTTTACATTTTTTTGAAGCCAGTGGTATCGGCATTTAAAAAATAAAGTACTCAAAGTTTATATATTTTTTTTCTTGACATCTTGGCCCAGGCTAACTGTGGGGTATAATGTAGCGGCTGTTTTATATTACGTAATATTACTAATTTATAAATTACTGGTAATTTTACTTCACTAATCACTTAACTATAATTCCCTTGACATTTTAATGCAAGCTTAACCAAGAATATCCGGTATAGCTGTTTATATCGTCCAAAATTCAGTGAAAATTCAACTATTAAGCGAAAATTTAACCTCTCTCAGAAATTACATTTTATATCTCGACATCAGGTACCACACGCTATACAGTAGGTTGTATAATTCTAATTTACATTAAAGCATTTCGTTGATATTGACTATCGATTTTGTTTCCTGAATGCCGTTCCATTAACTCTATTAGTTTTTAGAATATTATTTGCAATATATCAAATTAAATTTATTATAATAATATAGAAAGGGGACATTATAATAGAATCAAATATGTCTAATATTGAGACGGTCACTAGAAATGTTGATAGGTAATTAATTAAATAATTTTGAATAGGTGTTTTGAAAGTCTAACTAAATTAACTGACTTGGTTTTATATGCAACCTCACAACTCTTGGTACTAGAACCACTGCGTTACGAGACTTGGCTTTTTTACAATTATTTATGTTTTTGTTAGGATGATCTCGCCATGAGAACCTGTCCAACAGCAGCATTGGAGGTCATTCTAGATCTAACACCACTGCACATTGTCATTGGTAGATATGCCAATGCGACAATGATTAGAATGGTTACTAACGGAATTAGTACTGGGAGAATTGTCAGATCAGGGGCTTGGAATACCCTCAAAAAGGAAATACTACTCCTGCAACTCCCAGTGGACGATATGCCAAGAACGTAAAACTTTGACAAACATGTCAATGTAGTATTGAGCAATAAGAAGGATTGGAAGAGCGAAACGCTTGCCCAGCAGTTAAAAGACCATACCATAACTTGGTATACTGGTGCTTCCAAAACCAATACGGGAACAGGGATCGGAGTGTTTGGGCCGAGAGCTAATTACTCCGAACCAATGGGCACTTACCCTAGTATCCTACGGGCAGAAATCTACGCTATCGAGAGATGCGTACAACTTATCTTAGATAGGAACTATCGGAAACAAGAAATAGCCATCTTATCTGATAGTCAAGCAGCGTTAAAGGCGATCAACTCAGTATCAATCAATTCGAAATTGGTCAAAGAATGCATAGAGAAGCTGAATAAATTAGGCAAAGAAAACAAAGTCCTCCTACACTGGGTGCCTGCTCACCAAGGGATAGAAGGCAATGAAAAAGCAAATAATCTAGCTAGGAAAGCAGCGAACACTCCACTAACTGAACCAGAACCGTTCTGCTTTCCAAGTGGTAACCAACTCAAGGCGGAACTCAAGAACTTGGAAGATTCCATCCGCAACCTGGAATGGAAATTTTCCAATGGTCTAAGACACTCGAAGAAGTTTCTGAGGGCTTATGATGAAGAAAAATCACAGATCTTCCTGGGTCTGAGTAAGAACAATCTTCGGATTGTCACGGGGTTTTTAACAGGACACTGTCTCCTCAACGAACACCTCAGTAGATTGAAACTAAGAAGAAACGGCGAATGCAGATTCTGTGGGGAAGATGGGGAAACACCAGTACACCTCATCACTGAGTGCGCCGAGATGACAACCATTCGTGCCATGAATTTTGGTACGACTGATATTGGAGATGGAGAACTACCCTCTATAAAACCGTCCCAGATACTGGCTTTTGTCAAAGCCCTGGGACTGTATGATGAGTTATGATTCAAGAAAGGGGGACACAATGGATCTGTAAGGTCGAAGTGATTAACCCCCCTCCCACTCATTCTAAATTCTAAAAAAAAATTCTAGGATGATCTCTGCATCCAAAACAAAGAGCATGGCAACATCAAAAATACCTATCAGATGCAAGATTGTCGTGAATAACACAATAATACAGCTGAGAAATGAAATTTAAATATCTCGGTATAGAGTTATCCGGTTATGGCGATATCGAAACAGAGGTAAGACAACAAACAACAAAAGCAATGAGAGTGGCTGGATGTCTGAATGACACCCTATGGAAAAATAGATACATAGGTGTCGAGGTCAAGTCAAGAATATACAAGGCTGTCGTCAGACCCATAATGACCTACACAGCAGAAACCAGACCGGATACAGCAAAAACAAAAAGATTCTTGGAAGCAGGCGAGATGAAAATCCTCCGCAAAATCACAGGTAAGACGCTGCTAAATAGAGAACGAAGCGACAGCATAAGGCAAACATGCAATGTGGATAGTATTAACGAATGGGTATTGAGCAGAAGACGCGAATGGAATGAACATATAAGCCGAATGAACGAGGGAAGAATAGTAGGGTCAGCTCGAGACGAATTACTACTGGGAAGAAGAAGTAGGGGAAGGCCAAGAAAAAGATAGTGTTATAACCTTACCATCGATTGAAACTTTAGGCATGATGTGAAGAATGAACAGGCATATGCCTAATATAGAGTAGGAAGAAGAAGAAGAAGAAGAAGAGTTAGGACAACATATAAGAACATTCTTGTAAAAAATGTGTATAGATACCTCTGTGGCGGATTCATCTCTTCAAAAAAATTCTATGGGTATTTCGTCACTGTAAGAAGATGTACAAAATAAAAAAGTTATTTTTTGTGCAAACACTGCCGCGTGAATCCAACTGTGTTAAAAAATAAAAGATTATTTTTTAATACAAACTAATAAAAATAAATGTATTGCTCATGCGTCTGTAGATGTTAGGAATCGCTTCTTTGATTTTAAAGAACACAACATACGTAAAAATTAAAAACAAATTAAAAATAATCATACAGAAAGTTTGAAGCTTTTTGGTTTTACCTTAATAAGTAATTGTTATCAGGTAGTAATTTTTAATTTTGAAGATTAACTTGATATAATGCCATTTTAACAGAACGTCAACAGTGTTTGTGACGTATCTGTTTTAAAAAACTAAAGTGTTCTCGAATAGTTGAATTTAAATATTTTAAATATTTTTTTCTTTATTCTTTGTATTCTTTTTGTTTCCGACGACGGAAAGAGATAAACTTTCCGAAACGTTAAGCATTTTTTGGTTCGTTAGGCAAATTTGTATAACTGTAAACCGAACTGCTGACAAATAGTTTCCGTTTAGATTAACGCAGCGGTGTTTACAAAAAATAATTATTTTATTTTGTAGATTTTCTTGCAGTGGTGAAATACCCATAGGATGTTTTTGGAGATTCTTGTAATATTATGAAAACTCTACCCTTACACTTTGTGTTGTATTATAATCTCTAAAACAAGACAATGCCTTAATAGTAAATTCAATGTACCTAAGTTTACTCACGAACAACTTAA